GAAAGCATTGTTGCTCTGGTTAAACAATAAAAATTAAAAATAAGGGGTTGACATTGTGGCGTAGCAGGTAAAGCCACTGCTTGTGACACTAGCATCCCATAAGGGCACTGGTTTGTGTCCTGGCTGCTCCACTTCTGATCAGCTCCCTGCTAATGGTCTGAGAAAGCAGCAGAAGATGCTCCAAGTGCTTGGGGCCCTGCACCTGTGTGGGAGACCCAGAAGAAGCTCCTGGCTCCTGGCTTCGGATTGGCGCAGCTCCAGCTGCTGCAGCCATGTGGGGAATGAACCAGAGAATGGAAGCCCTCTCTCTCTCTCTCTCTCTCTCTCTCTCTCTCTCTCTCTGCCATGGAGAGCACTTTGGCGATCCACCTCCTGTTTTTCCTCTCCATAAATACAGGCAGTCAAATGTAATGCAGCTTTATACAGAGGGCATTACAGGACCTACACTGCTCAGGAACATGCTCTTTCTAACAAATTGTCACAGCAGTCAGCACACACCTGCAACATTTGTGGTGGCCACGTGGTACACGTGTGCATGGACACACTGTAACTGCCGCCCCTCTGGTGCCCAAGTTTGGGTTGTTTGGTGTTTTCCTCTGCAGTGTGGCAGCGTGTCATTCAACCATGCAGCCTTTACAGATGTGCAATAATCTCCTAGCGGTAAACATTTAGAAGAGCTGGGATAACAAGGAGAAAGAAAAGAAAAAAGGTTCGTTTCACTTAAAGCCCGCTAAAGCCAAGCTGGAGGTCACCATGGCAACCTCTTCCCATCCTTGCACACCAAGCGCTGTTAGCTGTGGCTGCTGCTCCCAGGGAGGTGGATCAGGCCGGGGGTAGCCCGCTGTCTGGGAGCAGTTTTATAAACCGAGGGAGGGACCGGGGCGGGGGGGCGAGGAGAGAGCATCAAAGCAGGACTGAGATGGTTGGGGGCGCTGCTGGTCACCTGCTGAGTACACGTGGCTTTTCCTTCTCCCCAGAGCCGTTGGTACCTGTGTTGTCCTCAGTAGGTAATGAAAGATCAGAGACGGGCCGTCTTTCCAAGGCACTCAGGGAAGCAGTGGATGGAGCCGGGGCGATGCCCTCCTCCATGTTTCCACAGAAGCCTGTGGCTCTAACCGCAGTCCCGCCCTTGGCCGTGCTGGGTGGCAGCTCTTACTGCCCATCCCCACCGCACCTCAGGCTCTTATGGGATAGAGCCATCATACCCACTTTTCCATCCCCATATCCTGCCAGAACCTTGGGTGTATCCTAGGTACTCAGTAAGTGCATAATAAATGATCCTGCAAATTCCCACCCCTCTCTCCATTTCTGCAGCCCCAGAGCAGGGACAGGTGCCCAGCCCCCTGCCACTCCCTTGCCTCTCACAGCACCTGTTCCCACCCCCCATCTCCCTAAAGCTGGCCCTCTCCTCCCTCCCCAACCCTCCCCCCATTTCCCACCCCTGCTGGCCAGGGAGCCCAGGGCTCTGGGGGGCTCCTGCATCCTCTCCCTCCCCAGCCTTCTTGTGCCCCACCATCCCTGAGCCCACCCGCTCCTCCTTGGGCCCGGCTGCCTGTGTCCCCTCTGATGGGCACCTCAGGTGCTCGCTGGGCTTTGAACCTCCCCACCCTTTGCCTCCCAGATGAATCTGGGACCTCCGCTTCTCCTCCAAGACCCTGTTGCATGCTTTCAGCTGCAAATCTGTACAAATCAAACTCTACTGCCCTGGTCTGCTGCGCTTCCTCCTGCAGCGTCATTTCCCAGCCCCGGGGGTGGCGATCTGTCCCTGGGAGCACACACCTAACAGTTCGTGGCCAGGGCGCCTGCCAAGCCCGGCAGGAGTGGTAGGGCTACAGCCTTGCTCTGGACGGCAGCCTGGTCCCCACATGCAAATTCAGGCCAGGGCTGTCGGTATTCAGACTGTCAAAAGGAACTGGGAACGGTTGGGGATCCCTTGGCATTTTAATATTGGTCCTGCTTTATTTGGTTTTGCTTTTCCATTTTTTTTTAAAGATTTATTTATTTATTTGAAAGGCAGAGTTACAGAGAGGCAGAAGCAGAGAGCGAGAGAGAGATGTCTTCCATCTGCTATTTCACTCCCCAAATGGTCACAACCGGGGGAGCCACGCCAATCTGAAGCCAGGAGCCAGGAGCTTCCTCTGGGTCTCCCATGTGGGTTCAGGGGCCCGAGCACTTGGGCCATCTTCTACTGCTTTCCCAGGTGCATTAGCAGGGAGCTGGGTGGGACGTGGAGCAGTCCCACGTGGGATGCTGGTACTGCAGGCGGCGACTTAACCTCCTATGGCACACTGAAGCCCCAGTGCGTTCTCATTAACCAGTGCTCACAGCTGGCATTGGGGTTCACTCTGTGTTGTGCCTTCTGGGGCTTTGACGGATGCGTGATGCCGTGTGTCTGCCATCACATGGTCATGAGATTGTTTTCAAACACTGCAGAAGCCTGAAGTCTCCATTTTGCACACTTTCCTCCCACAGTGCCCCTCCTCTCCCCTCTCTGCGCTCCTCAGAGCTTCTGTCCCTCCTGTCTACCAGGCTGTGGCTCCCGGAGGTCCTCGGGACTTAGAAGTCCCAGGACCCCCCATGCCAGGGCCCCAAGAGGTTTTGGGATGCACAGACCACATGAGGTCACAAGAGGTGTCCCGGCCAGTGCCCTGCTGGAGGGAGGAGGGCTGAGGACGCCTGAGTCCCTAGGCAGAGCGGCCCAGGGCGGAAGGGAGGAGCCGCCCCAGGGAGTGCCTGACTTGGGGTCTCATGGTTGGAACTTGTCCCCCAGAGCCCCATTGCAACTGCTGTGAGAGTGGGTAGGTCATGAGGGCAGAGGGATGTTCATGTCATTGTGGCGGTGGGTTAGTTATCATGAAAACGGGTTAGTTATCATGAGAGTGGGTCAGTTACTGCAGGAGTGGGTTAGTTACTGTGGGAGTAGGTTACTTAGCATGAGTGGGTTAGTTACTATAGGAATGGATTCGTTATCACAAGTGGCTTAGTTACTGTGGGAGTGGGTTAGTTATGGCAGGAGTGGTTTGTTAATGTGAAAGTGGGTTAGTTATCACAAGAGTGGGCTAGTTATTACCAGAGTGATTTAGTTATCATGAAAGTGGATTAGTTACTGTGGGAGTGGGTTAGTTATTGTAGGAGTGGTTAGTTATGGCAGGAATGGATGAGTTACTGTGGGAGTAGGTTAGTTATCATGGGAGTGGGTTAGTTATCATGAGAGTGGGTTGTTTATCATGTGAGTGGGTTAGTTATCACAAGAATGGGTTAGCTATTGAGAGCAGGTTAATTATCATGAGAATGGATTAGTTATGGGAGTGGGTTAGTTATTGAGAGAGTGGGTTAGTTATTGAAGGAGTGGGTTAGTTATCACAGGAGTGGGTTAGTTATTAAAAGTGGGTTAGTTATTGCAGGTGTGGGTTAGTTATCTAGAGAGTGAGTTAGTTATTGTGATAGTGGGTTAGTTATTGAGGGAGCAGGTTAGTGATCACAGGAATGGGTTAGTTATCTAGAGAGTGGGTTAGTTATTGAGGGAGTAAGTTTGTTATTGCAGGAGTGCTTTAGTTATTGAGAGAGTGGGTTAGTTATTGAGGGAGCGGGTTAGTTATTAAGGGAGCGGGTTAGATATCAAGGGAGTGGGTTAGTTATTGAGAGAGCAGGTTAGTTATCGAGGGAGTGGGTTAGTTATCAAGGGAGTGGGTTAGTTATTGAGAGAGCAGATTAGTTATCGAGGGAGTGGGTTAGTTATTGAGGGAGTGGGTTAGTTATCGTGGGAGCAGGTTAGTTATCGTGGGAGCGAGTTAGTTATCATGGGAGTGGGCTCCCGAGTAAAGGATGACTTTGGCCCCCTGCCTGCCTTGTGCCTGCCCCCCTCCCCCTACACCTGGTGCCTCTGCCCCGGCTCCATGCAGGCCCTCGCTCGGGACCTTCCCAGCCTCCGCAATGCTGTCTCCTGTGTGATTCCTCAGCCTCAGGCTCTCCGTGACAGCAGCATACCTCGACCAAGCCAGGGTCTCGAGCTCTCCTGCTCCAGGGCCCCCTTCTTCCCATGAGCACCCTGAGCCCAGAGAAGGCAGGAGAGTGCACCCAAGGCCAGAGCTCTGCTTGGCAGAGCTGGTGCCTCCTGCCTCTCACCACCCACGCTGAAGGGGGCAGCCCTGCCACAGCCCCTGCTTCTTGACAAGGGGCCAGTCGGTGGGCGTGCCCAGTGTGGGCCCAAGCCCCGCACCCCAGCAGGGCAGGTGTGGCTGGCAAGCCTGTGTGCGGGCTGGGGGCAGGTAGGGAAGGAGGTGGAGGCACACTGGGGGCCACACACTCCACCGTCCCTGTGCCTGCTTGCCCACAAAGCAGCCTCCTCCAGGAAGCCTCTGAGCCAGCTAGCCCGGGAAGGAAATTAAACTCTCATCTCCTCACCCCCAAAGCAACCCTGGGCTCCCTCCCACCCCACTGGCACATACTCCCCCAATTCTGTCCCCCAGACAGCCCTAACAAGCTGCCCACTTTCCGTCTGCAAAGGAGTCCAGGCAGGTGACGGGCCACACACAGCCACCCCCTGGCCTTGGCCCCAGCTGCACCTGCTGCAAGCTGTGCCCTCTTCCCCACCCATGCTGAGACTCCCTGTGGGAGTGGGAGTGGAATAGACCCTAACCCTCTGCATGCCCCAGCCATGAAGGTGGCCCTGCCCGATGCTTCCTTTCAACCTTGCTTCTACTGCCCAGGTGGCATCTGAGCCCTGGGTTGGCTGGCCTGCGTGCCTCCCCCATCCTGCGGGGAGCTGCCCCCAGGCTCAGTAGGGTCTGCCTGGCTCCTGTCTTCCATGGTTGGATGGACAGAAGGACAAACGAATGCATGGGCAGCCTCTAAGCAGAACAGCCAGCAGGTGTCTATGGAGGGTGTTATAGAAAAAATAACCCAGGTCCTGTCTTCAAGGAATCTCAATCATTTTGCACCTTAAAGAATCAGACAGTGACTCCTAAACCAGCTGATGATAGTGATTCCTGTACCTGCAGGCTGAGCTCTCTGCAGAGCCCGAGCAGCTGATGAGGTGGGCTGGGAGACCAAGGCGGACAAAGTGAAGCCGCAAGTTCACGGGCACCGGCTGGTGAGTGGAGAGGCCTGGCCTGAAACCCAGATCTGTGCCACCAGAAGTCTGGTTTTAGCTACCCGCTTGCTACAGCTGGGGAGGGGAGGAGAGAGCAGTGGGAGGAGAGACCGTGGAGGTACCCTCCTGGAGGAGGAGGTCTGCGGGCTTGGCCTGCAGTGGTGGGCTGCCACAGGGTAGACAGGGCTTGGGACAGGCCAGAAAACTGGCCACTGTGGGAGTCCAGGGGATGGGGCTGGGGGGTGGCCCGTGGCCGTGACCTAAGCCTGTGCTCACACGGGGTGGCCCACGGTGACACGTGCTGGCGTGCGCAGGGCAGAGCTGGGTCTGCAGGGAGAACCGGGACCAGCTGGTCGCCCTGGGCGTGGACTTTTGTAGTATCAGAGAGCAGGGCCAACCCAGCCTGCAGAGCCGGCTTCTCCCTCAGCGCACAGGCCGAGGGGCACCCCACCCAGCCAGTGGGGCCGGTTCCCAGGGCAGGAACACTCCCTTCATTCATCGATGGCCGACAGGATTGCTCCCCCCACTGAGAGCTGACCCAGGGACTCCTGCCCTGGACCTCAGATGCTGTCTGGGCATCAGGTTACCCTGTGGGTGCGGCTTGGCTCACAGGAAATTGAATGAGAGCCATGGTCCATGTCCCTGGCACACACACACTCACAGACATGCACACCTAGACCCATGCACACACACTTAGTTTTACCCATAATTCCTTGCTTCCCACACACACACCTAGGTCTCACCATGGATTTCCTCGAACCCTCCCGAGTGTGGTCTTTGTTGCCCTAGCAGCGGTGGTAAACACAGCTGCATTCTTTGTAGTTTGACAAACCACGTTCCCTTCCTGTGTGTCACTGCCTCCTCCCAGAGCCCTGGCCAGGCAGGAGTTAACATGATTTTACCAGCGGCAGAAAATGCAAGTCAGGTGGGATTGCTCAGTCAAGTTCATACCTCAGAGGGCAGACTTGAGCCTGGCTACCCTGAGACCCGAACCCCGGGTGCCCCCGGCCTGTCTACCTCTTCAGAGCATCCTCCAAGCCCTGGCAGCCCAAGGAGTGTCCGCTGTGTCGGCGAAGCCACTCAGCTCTCTGGATACCTGGCAGCCTTGGTCCCCCCGGCTCCTGAGACGCCCCGTGCGTGCCCTAATCCAGACGGGCGACTGTGACATCAGCACACTGTTTCAAGAGTCTTTGTGCCCTTCGATAAGAAAAAAAATAACCTTTTGTAATAAGCCAGTTTGCACATAAACGCATACGAGGGATCTTCAGCAAGTACGTGGGAATCCAAACATGTAGTTTACAAAAGTCCTTTGCACCCAAACGAGCCTATGTTTTAGCTCCGTTTTTCCGCCGACATTCTGGAAGCTCGCGCCTATGTAAAGTAAGAAACAAAATACGTAACAGACACAACAAATATCCACAGAACTGCGCGTCCCTGTATGCAGCTACACCTACACACTGATCTTTTGTGTTCTCTTTGCTGTCCCTGCCTCTGTGTTTGGAGCTGCTGGTTGTGTCTTTCTAAATGGATTTCATGATCTATTGAGAGGTTGGGACCTGCAGTTTGGAAAACCCTGCATGGACAGACATAATCACCCTGGCTCTCGTGAATGGAGAAGCTACCTGGGAGTTGTCTGTCATTCTACTGAAGGGGGTGTTTGATGCCGGCTGCAGCCAGGCTGGTGTGCAAGTATGTGCCACTGGGCTCTGGGGTGACCGCAGCCATCCTGTGAGTCGGCTCTTTCTCCCTGGGTGGATTCGGGCATGGGCTCTGGCAGGGTGGGGCTGCTGTTCTCGCAAGCCTTATTGAGCGGCTTTGCATTTCTTCCCACGGTTAGCTACACACCTTGTTTAAATCCTTTTTTTTAAAAAAATTAATTAGGAATCAGTATGGCGCAGCGGGTTAAGCTGCCTCGTGTGATGTGGACATCCCATACTGGTTTGTGCCCTGGCTGGTTCAAGCCCTGGATGCTCTACTTCCGATCTAGCTCCCTGCTTCTGTGCCCGGGAAAGCAGCAGAGGAGGGCCCAACTACTTGGGCCACTCAGGTGGGAAACCCGGATGGAGATTCTGGCTCCTGGCTGCAGCCTGGCCCAGCCCCAGCCATTGTGGTCATTTGGGGAGATAACCAGCAGTGGAATATGTTTCTGTCTTTCCCTTTCCCTCTGTTGCTCTGCCTTTCAAATACATAAATGAAAAAATTAATTTATTCAAGAGGCAGAGAGAGAGATGTCCACCCACTGGTTCACCATCTAAATGCTTTCAGTGGCAGGGAGCTGGGAGCCAGGAACTCAGTCCAGGTCTCCCACGTGGGCGGCAGGAACCCAGTTATGTGAGCCGTCACTGCTGCCTCCCAGGGTCTGCATTAACAGGGAGCTGGAGTCAGGAGCCAGGTCTCAAACCCAGGCCCTGCAGTATAGGGTGCAGGTTCCTTCCCCGCTACGCTGGCGTCTGCCCCCAGACCTTGTTTAATGCTGACCTTGCCAGTCCTCGATGAGTGACCCCAGGTGAGTTATTTCCTACCTGAGGCCCCCATCTGTAAAATAGGTAGAGGTGCCGGCGCTGTGGCATAGTGGGTAAAGCTGCCGCCTGCAGTGCCGGCTTCCCAGTCGGGTGCCAGTTTGAGTCCTGGCTGCTCCACTTCTGATCCAGCTCCCTGCTAATGTGCTCGGGAAAAGCAGTGGAAGATGGCCCAGGTGCTGGGCCCTACCACCCATGTGGGAGACCCAGAAGAAGTTCCTGACTGTGGATTGGCACAGCTCCAGCTGTTGCAGTCATCTGGGGAGTGAACCAGTGGATGGAAGACCTCTCTCTCTCTGTCTCTCTCTCACTGTCTAACTATGCCTGTCAAATAATAAGACCTGTCTCTCTCTCTCTCTCTATCTCTATCTCTCCCTCTTTGTCTCTATAACTCTGCCTTTCAAATAAATAAACAAACAAACAAATAAATAAATAAATCTTAAAAATAAAAGCAGAAGCAAGGTTCTTAAAAAAACAGGGAGAAAGGCGGGTTGTACTAATTTGTGCTTCTCCGTGTAGGGGCGTTTTTGCGGCAACAACATTCATATAATATATTTTGGGGGAATATTTGGAGGAAATATTTTTTGTATCAAAGTAAACATAGTTAAATTATGGAGCAGACTTCCAAACTCCCACATTTTTTCAACACTTTGTGTGTGTGTGTGTGTGTGTGTGTTTTTAAATATATTTCACGTGCCGTGTATTCTTTGAGCCACTTGTAAGTGTGTGATTCAGTGGCATGGACATTTCAAGTGTTGTGCAACTGTCACCACAATGTTTTCATCATCCCGAGTGGGAACCACGTACCCCTTGCATAACAACTCCTCATTCCCACACCCACCTGGCCCCTGCCCTGGGCCCCTGGGGCCTCCACACTACTTCCTGTCTTCGACTCTGCCTGTGCTGCGCATCTCATCAAAGCACAGTCACCCAGCATCTGTCCTTTGGTGTGTGGCTCATGTCACTTAGCCTCGTGTTGTCAAGGCTCACCCGTGAGGCTTGTGTCAGAGTTTCATGCCTTTTCAAGGCTGAATAGTATTCCATGGTGGACGTGTGGGCTCTGTGCTCCTTGTCTGACATGCTGGGACAGGAAGTATTTCAGCCTTTAGAGTTTCTCAGAGTTTGGGATGTTTGCATGGAATTTACCGGATGAACTTCCTACTCCAAAAATCCCAAATCTGAAAGGAGTCTCGGTGCTGAGGCTTAGTCTGTACCGCGTGGATCCTGGGGCTTCCTCCTTCATGAATGCCGCTTCCGTCAACCTGGGCTTCTTTGAATTCTTTCTTTCTTTATTATTATTTGACAGGCAGAGTTAGACAGTGAGAGAGAGAGAGACAGAGAGAAAGGTCTTCCTTCAGTTGGTTTACCCCCCACATGGCTGCTACAGCAGGCGCTGTGCCCATCCGAAGCCAGGAGCCAGGTGCTTCTCCTGGTCTCCCATGCAGGTGCAGGGCCCAAGCACCTGGGCCATCCTCCACTGCCTTCCCGGGCCACAGCAGAGAGCTGGACTGGAAGAGGAGCAACCGGGACTAGAACCTGGCACCCATATAGGATGCCGGCGCTGCAGAGCCGCAGGCAAAGGATTAGCCAAGTGAGCCATGGCGCCGGCCCCTGAATTCTTTCTTTATAGCTAGCAGGGAAATCTGGGGATGGATAATTCCGTGTCTGTCTTCTTGAGAAAGCATCACGGTGTTCCACACTGATTGGGCCATTCTAAAATCCCAGGAGCAAGGTTTCAGTGTCTCCACATCCTTGCCAGCGCTTACCTTCTGAGTCTTTGGCTGGGTTGGTTTGCTTTTGATCCTGGCCGCACTGTGTGATGTGAACTGGTGTCCCACTGTGGCTTGGATTTGCATTTTCTGAATGACTGCTTGTCCTGGGCCCTTCCTAATCTTCTTTGTGAGTCTCTTGCTCAGTTTTGAATGGGGTTGTAGGAATTATTTATACATTTTGGATTTTACTTTCTTATTGAACATTTCATTTGCAAATTTCCCATTCTGCGGGCCGTTTTTTCAGTCTTTGATAGTGTCCTTTGATGCACAAAAGCTTTAAATTTGGATCGCGTGCATTTTTAGGGAAGACTTATTTATTTATTTGAAAGGCAGAGAGACAGAGGAATCTTCCATCCATCCGCTAGCTCACTCCCCAGGGTTGGGCCAGGCCAAAGCCAGGAGCCGGGAGCTCCATCCAGATCTCCCAGGTGGGACAGCAGGTGCCCACGCCATCTGCTGCTGCTTTCCCAGGTGCATTGGCAGGAAGCCAGATCAGAAGCAGAGCAGCCGGGACTCACACCAGCGCTCTGAAGTGGGATGTTGACATTGCAGGTGGCAGCTTAACCCTTGCAGCACAACACTGCCCAGATCACGTGCATTTGTGAAGGTAAAACCGGGGCTGAGGGTGAGTGGGAACTCCCCACTGGGCTCCTCTGCCCTCCCACGGAGCGCGTACGACCCCTGGTGGTGGGGAGGCCTGGGAGCAGCGCCCTCTGGCACAGGGATGACCCTGTCCCCTCCGGGCCTCTGTGCTGTGTGCTGTCCACATGAGGGAGGAGGGCAGACAGGAGCCGCAGAGGAGGGAGGCAGGCAGCAGTGCGACCACGTGGGGCCTGCCTGAGGGACAGGCCACTCCCTAGCTGGCGCTCTGTTCCCCTTGTCCAGCGTGCTCGGACCCACACCTCACCGGCACCAACTGAAGAAGCCAGGCCCTTGCCACTGCCCCACCACACCCAGGAGGCTGAGGCCTCACCGTTACGACCAAAGGGAATTTGCTTCTTGGTGAGCAGAAAGCAAAGCCTTCACCACGAGGAGTTATCACACAAGTAATGTTTGAATGTCTCTGACCTGGGTGGCAGGGGCCAAGCACCCGGGCCATCTGCTGCTGCTTTTCCAGGTGCATTGGCAGGGAGCTGGGTCAGGAGCAGAGCAGCGGGAGCCAAACCGGCTTAACCCCCTGCCCTACAACACCGGCCCCAGCCTTTTCTGTTAAGTAAATATGTTGGGTATCTTTGTATTTTCTAAACCTGGTGCTTAATTCATTCTGTAAGGAACTGCTAATTTGTTTGGATTCCTAATAATGAGCCATGTTTTGGACTTTCTCATTGGGAAAATAGTACATGAGGTTCCGTTTGGTCACCTTACACTTAGACATGTTCAGCCTGAGCTAGATCTAGGGTGGATGATGTTCGCTGGGGCAGGGACCCCCAGGGGTATGGCTAGAACCCGAGCCTGAGAGGTGTGATGGGCCTGGGGCAGCTCTCCCCTCGGGTTAACTTAGCTGTGGTTGAATCTGCGAGTCTCAGCTTGAGAAGCCCTGGTGGTGGTCTTGCTGATTTTTCCTTTGTTCCCCAAACAATTCCAGAAACCAGCAAAATGTTCTTGAGAGGGTATCCTCCTCCTTCCATTGTTTTGTTTTTAGCTATTTTTTTTTAAAGTGTTTTAAATGGGATCTTATGTGGCACCCACTGTGGGGTTGAACTCTTAGCAGAGCTGTACATTGTGTCTTTTTTTAAAGATTTTATTTATTTATTTGAGAGGTAGAGTTACAGACAGTGAGAGGGACAGACAGAGGCAGAGAAAGGTCTTCCTTCCGCTGGCTTATTACCCAAATGACCACAACGGCCAGAGCTGCACCAATCTGAAGCCAGGAGCCAGGAGCCTCTTCCAGGTCTCCCACGTGAGTGCAGGAGCCCAAGGACTTGGGCCACCTTCTACTGCTCTCCCAGGACACAGCAGAGAGCTGGACTGAAAGAGGAGCAGCTGGGACTATGGGACCATGTGGGATGTTGGTGCTGCAGGCGGAGGATTAACCTACCGCGCCACAGTGCCGGCCCCTACATAGTGTTTTGATTTTGGAGCTCTTAGAGATCCTTTTGTTTTAGTCAAGCTTCTTTCTAGACTTCTGCAGAGAGACAACACACCAAGCTGCTATTTGAGATACTGGGAATTGCCCTCTGGTTTGAAAGCATTTTCGGAATGAAGAGCTTGGCTTGGACGGAAAGAGACCAGCAGGACCCGGGTATTAATTCTGTGTTCCATTCCATCTGCAGTGGGTCATAATACACACAGTGCATGAACCAGTGGCCGAGCTCAGAGACCTTCCATGACGGGCTGTGGGTGAGTCAGAGTTCTTGATAAACATATAAAAGTTCACATTTGAGATGCAAAATAACAACACATTTATTTCTTTGACTAGAAGGAAAGCATGTTGCGAAAACCCTCCTGCTTTTTGTTTCGAAAAGATCTATTTATTTGAAAGGCAATACCGTAGAGAGAAAGAAGGGAGACAGAGACAGAGAGAGATCTTCCATCCACAGGTTCACTCCCCAGATGGCTACAATGGCCAGGGCTGGGCTAGGCCAGGCCAAAGCCAGGTCTCCCATATGGATGGCAGGGGCCCAAAAACTTGGACCATCATCCACTGCCTTCTCAGGAGTATTGGCAGGAAGCTGGATCAGAAGCAAAGCAAGTGGGGTTCCGACCTGCACTTGGATATGGGACATTGGCCTTGTAAACAGTGGCTTAATCCACTGCACCACTATACTGGCCCCCCACAAAAACCTCATACTGTGATACTTCAGAGTCAAGTGTGGTCTTAGCTGAGCGTGCGTCTCAGTTTCATTCATCGCTTAGCATCTGGGTCATAAACGTCATTCCATAGTTTCCATCTTCCCTCAGTTGGGAGGAGAAGTAAATGCCTGTGCATTGTATGCGGGCTCAGTTCCCTTTGGCCGAAGTTGATTCTCTTAAAAAGAAACTGACACCTCTGGACTGTGGGCCTTCTTGAAGTTGGGGGAGACTTGCTGTCTTCCCTGCAATCCAGAAAGCCAAGCACACATCCTCTAGTTATGTCTGGGGCGGAAGTGCCTCTCTCACCTCTTAGCCTCCACCACAACCCTCACTCCCTAAAACAAAGACTCTGGGTGCCTCAGCCCACTTGGGGGCTCCTGCAACAAAATGCCACAGCCCCCCCCAGGAGGAGGGGGCTTATTTATGCACAGTGGTAATGCACTCCCCACACATCTGGAGGCTGGAGTCCAAGGTCAAAATCAAGGCTGCAGCAGACGCTGGTCCAGTGAGGATCCTCTTGCAGCTCATGGCTGCTGAACTCGCACTGTGCACTCACGGAAGTGGGACACAGCCCAGGGCCCCAGGGGCAGCACTCTGGACATCCCCAGTCCCGAAGACAGGAGCTCCAGGGAGCGTTGTGGCCTCCACCCACAACGGCCCCCACAGACCTTGAAGCCAGCCACAGACTGACCTTGGGCAAGTGCCAGCTTCTCCATGCCTCAGCGTTCCTGTCTATAAAACGCAAAATCAATTTTCCTTTCTGAGAATGAATATTAATTGCAAGTGTTTATTGGACCCTAACCTTGTGGCTGTAGACTTTTCTCCTATTCGTTCATAATGTTCCTATGAAGAATATGCTGGCAGTGGAAGATGGCCCAAGTGCTTGGGCCTCTGCATTCCCATGGGAGACCAGGAAGAAGCACCTGGCTCCTGGCTTCAGATCGGCGCAGCTCTAGCATTGCAGCCATTTGGGGAGTGAACCAGCAGATGGAAGACCTTTCTCTCTGTCTCTCCCTCTCACTGTCTGTAACTCTACCCTCAAAGAAATAAAAGAAAATGCTGGTTATTTCCGTTTACAGTTGGGGAAACCGAGGTATGGGTGGCAAGGAACTTGCCGAGGGTTGTACAGGAAATGGCGAAGCAGTCTTTGTAGGGTTTGAGTCTACCCCAGGCCCCTCCCTGCTGTGCCAGGCTCGCTGGGGTGGCCGTGGTGAGGGTGGGTGAGCTGAGCCAGGTGGTACACAGGTGCAGTGCGGTGGGGGGAGTCTCCCCTCTCCTCCTCCTCCCATGTCTGGGGTTGGCTAGCTGGGTGCTGTGGAGGTTTATTTCAGGTGTTACTGGCTGACTTCAGGAACACCTAGAGAACCAGTCGGGTGCTAGCTCTGGGTGTGTCTGTGAGGTGTTTCCAGAGGAGACTGGTGTGGGCGTCAGTGGACAAGAGCGGGGAAGATCCGCCCCAAGTGTGGGCCGCCCGGGGCCCGGGAGCGGCGAGGTGAGGCGAGGCGAGGCGAGCTCCCGTCCCCTCTGCCTTCCAGAGCGGGACACCCTCCTCCCGCCCGTGGACGGCGGAGCCCAGACTCTCCCCTCTGCCCATGACTCCCCCAGCTTCTCAGCCCTTCAGCCTCGTGCTGCCAGTGACACAACTGGCCCCCGTGGTTCTGAGGCCTTCGCACACAGCCAGAGCCTCCACACCGGCTTCCCACGTCTCTAGGCTGCGGCTTCTGTGACCCGAACCAACCCCTCCCAAGTTCGCTCTCAGGTACCTGCACCACTGGGTCCCCTCCTATGGCTTCTGTATCTCTGGGAATCCCTGATGATGCAGGTGTGCACCCCTCACCTCTCTCTCTCTCTCCTCTCTCTCTGTCTTCCTCATCCATCTGCTTCCTGTACCATGAAGGAATAAGACAACTTTTGTGATCATGTGTGAATTGTGGGACAAGGAAAGGCAGGGCCAGAAGGGTAGCTGACTACCCGGTGTGTGCTGCAGCTGCTTCAAGACGAGCTGAGAATTTAAAGTCAGCAGACACAAAAGTTGTCTTATTCCTTCATGGTACAGGAAGCAGATGGGGCCGGCGCCGTGGCTTACTAGGCTAATCCTCTACCTTGCGGCGCCGGCACACCTTCTAGTCCTGGTCGGGGCACCGGATTCTGCCACAATTCACACACGATCGACAGTGACTAAGTGAAGAAATGGGTGAGTCCTGGACTGTGCCCAGTGCCCTCCTTTTGGCCTGGCTTGTCCGGCTGTCCTAGCCACGGGTGTGCCGCGAGAGGGAGGAGTCTTTCATTTCCTTTCCCATGACGTTGAGTCAAACCCAGGGAGAATCAGGGGACTAAGAGGAGCAGGTGTGCGGAGACCCAGCCCCAGGTCCCTGATTGTGTGAGGTTTCTCTGGAGTGCTCGAGTTTCCCCTGCTCCTGGGTCTTTGCGTCTCGCCTGGCAAGTAGGTGGGTCAGCAGTGCCTTTGGTGGGTCAGCGGTGCCCCTGGGAGTGTGGAAATCTTGGTGATTTAGACGGAGAAAGCCAAGGATGGGCCATTAATGTCCTGGTCCAGTTTCTGTTGCCATGACCGAATACCACCGAATGGGCAGTGTACACCGACTGAAGCTTGATTTGGTTCCTGGTTCTGGAGGCTGGGAGGGCCAAGGTCAAGGTGCCATCTGGTAAGGGCCTTCTTGCAGGTGGGGACACTGCAGAGTCCTGGGGCGGTACAGGGCATCGCGCTGCAAGGGGGAATGCACGCGACAGAAAGACCTGCTCCCAAGGTCACCCATTAATCCCAGACTGGATTAAGCAGCTTGGGAGGGCAACATCTGTGTGACCAGATCTGCCCCTGATAGCTCCACCCAGTCCCCTCTTCTTCCCTCGCAGGGGGCCACCTAGCCGCAGAGATGTGGCGGGACCATGGCATTCAGTGCTGTGTTTACCATGTCTACCTTCTATTTTCTTGAGTTTGGTAAAATGTATATGATGTTTTAAAATTATTCTTCTCCTGCAATACGGCAGGATTATTTTATTGTCGCAGAACACTCCTCACGTACACTTCCCATTTGGGCCATTTCCAGCCGCGCAGTGCAGTGGCACAGAGTTCACACTGCTGTGCAGGCATCCTGCCACCCCCCTGCAGAGCTCTGCCCATCATCCCAGTCTACACCCGTCCAACACGGCTGCCACTGTCCTAGTCACCGTGTCTTTGTTCTAGAACCCTCGTCTAAGTGGACTTGTACAATGTATGTTCTGTTGTGACGGGCTCCAAGGTTCACCCACGTTGCAGTGTGGTCAGAATCCTCTTGGTCTTTAAGGAGAACGACTGCCCCTTTGTATGCACGTGTCCCACATGCCCTGGAAATTTCCATCTTCCCACTGCTGTGGATCGTGCTTATATTGGAGTTTTGTGAAGAAAGAAGCTCGTTTGTGACAATGAAACGTCATCCCTTTAATAACCTGCAGAACCTAAATAAACATCCTAGGAAGCAAAAGTAAACAAGCCACAGGGACAGGAACCCTGCGAGTTCAAAGGCTGAGCAGCAGTGATTCAGTAAATGGTGATTTGCTGGAGGCGGCGGATCAGCCCGGCACTCACCCTGTTTCCTTCCAGCCCAGGGAGGCTCCTCCCCAGTGGGGCCAGCCCGGGGCTCTGGAATCAGCTGGGCTGCAGAGCAAGGGTGTGGCCGAGGTCCCTGGGCGCCCAGAGGCAGGGAGAGAACCCCTGTGGCTGATGGGGTGGGGGCTGGGACTGTGAGGACGAGGCGTGGTACACTTTGGCCCACAGAAGAGACCTGGACTGTGATAAATTCCTTCTTTTCTAGACCATTCTTTTGCTCAACCAACTTGTATTTCGGTGTCTTGGGCGTCCTGAGGGCTTTGGGTTTCTTCAGCTCCCATGACTCACCACTGTTAAACTCTCTCAGCCCTACAGCAAAACAGCCTTGTTACTTTGTGTCGCTCTGTCTCCAACAAGCGCCTGGGTTCATTTGCTGGCTTTTGTGTGTTCCAGGGCAACTGAGCTCCAGCAAGCTTCTGGAAGAGCCACTTTACCTGCCAAGACCTGGAGACAGCTCCTGGTCCTCTTGCATTCTGTGTGCCCAGGGGCAGCCCACGGGACAGGGGGTGCGGGGTCGGGGGTGGGAGGGCCTGGACAGTGAGCAGCCCCAACTCTCCCCGCTATACAGCCTTGGGGAACTCGCTCCTCCCCTCCAATCCTCTGGAGAAGGGGCTGGGGCCTCTAGGGACTCTTCCAGCCCTGCAGTTTTAGGTGCATGGCCTCTGTCCCTGAGGGCTGCTGTAACAACATACGTTAGCCTGGGTAACGCACACAAGCGCAGAAGTCCAGTGCACACAATTCCAGAGCCTGGGGCCTCCCAGATCAGAGTGCCAGCGGACTGGGGAAAAGGCGCCAGTGGTCCCCCCGCCACCAGTGCTGGAGATTAGGTTTCACAGATGGCCCTGCTGAGCCACAGACACCGCACTCACCCCTGTTGGGATTCTGTTCCCTCCCTCCAGCACTCTTGGGGTGGGCAACCCAGCCATCATCATCAGATAACTCTGAGATTTATTTATTTATTTACTTATTTAAAAGGGGGAGAGAGAGGGAGGGAGAGAATGAGAATCTTCTGTGTGCTGGCCCGTTCCCCAAATGGCCACAACAGGCAGGGCTGGGCCAGCCTGAAGCCAGGAGCCTGGAACTCCATCCGGGTCTTGCATGTGGGCGACAGGGACCTAAGCACGCAGGCCACCCTCTGCCGCCTTCTCGCATCGGCAGGGAGCTGGATGGGAAGCGGAGCAGCCAGGACTGGAGCTGGCTGATGCGAGAGGCAGGGGTCCCAGGCTTGCCCGCTGCCCATGCTGCTCCCTGTCAGATGCTTCCGCTGTTGCTGTTTGTAAAGCAGCTGTGTCCGACAGGTGGTCGCTCGGGGTCCTGACCCCGTGGCAGTGGGCGGAGGCTGACTGCATTTCTCCATGCTGTCTTCTTTCAGGGAAGCAGCCTCGCACCCCAAGCCATGCTGGGACTATGAGCCAGGCCCGGCCACCCGCGGCCCTGCCCGGCGGCCTCACGATGCTGAGCCTGAAGCTGCCCAGGCTGTTCCGCATAGACCAGGTGCCCCAGGTACGTGCTCTGCTCCTCCTAGGGCCGAGTTCCAGTGCGACACGGCCGGGCTCTGCAGCGGGGCACGGCTTGTGCTCAGCCAGCCTCTTCTGCACTGGCCCCTCCTTCACTTCAAGCGTCCCCTCCCGGGATTCTTTGCGGGGGCGGGGCAGGAATTAGAGCCTCCTGCTGCCTTCCCTGCACCACACCTGGAACCTGAAGTGAGCCCCGAGGTTTTAAAGTTGGAACCCTTCCTGAGATGTCTGTATTTTATCCAGAAGCAAAGTCCCAGTGGAGGCTACGGATTCGAGCTAGAGATGGAGGAAGCTGGCGGGGGAGCATCCGTGCTTCTAGGACCCACCTATGGGTGCTTGAAAGCAAGCGGGGGAGGGGCGGGGAACTCATCTGCAGGAGGCCCAGGCTGGGCCTGGGGTGGGGTAGTGGGGGTGTTGCTGACTGGGCCTTAGCACCCTCCTTCAGTGGACTCCTGGGCCTGAGAACTCACAAGCACCCAGCCCAACATACAAGAGGTCTTCAGAAAGTTAGTGGAAATGTATGTTATGAATAAAAACTACACATGGATTTCAAACTTTGTTGGAACAACAAGAAACTTATCTTTTATTCCATTTTAATGAACAGTTCCAAAAGACTGATTTATTTGAAAAGCAAAGTGAGAAAGAGAGAGAGAGAGAGAGAAACAAATCAATCTTCCATCTGCTCATTCATCCCAAGTGGCCAGGGCAGGGCCAGGCTGAAGCCAGGAGCCAGGAGCTCCATCTGGGTCTCCCACATGGGTAGCAGGGGCCTAAGCACTTGGGCGTCACCTGCTACCTTCCTAAGCCCATTAGCAGGGAGCTGGATCAAAAGCAGAGCAGCCGGGGCTTGAGCTGGTGCTGTGATAGGGGATGCTGGAGTCGCAGAGGCTTAACCCGCTGTGCTACAATGCCGGCCCCTCTGAACTTTCGGGAGGCAGCTTGTCCACGGGGCTCCTTGTCAGTCTGCTCTAATAAGGCTCGGTGACAGCCCTGTGGTCCGATCTGTGGTGAACTGGCTCGGCTCACCTCCCCTTATAAGGAGCGCGTCCATCCTTTGCAGCCCGGTCCCCAAGTCGAATTCTCTTCCATTTCCATTCAAGAGGAGTGAGCGCTATGTCCTGATGAGATGTTTCGTCTGGGGGATGTCAGAGTGCAGGAGCAGCCTTTCCTACTCGGCTGATGGCCAAGCACTTGGGACCTGCCCCAGAAAAGTGATTCTCCAGCGGACTTGGCGTCAGGATGGAAGAGGAGGTGACCCTGAAAGCCGGTGAAGCGAGGTGCGCCCCGGAAGACGGTGTCGGGGTGGACTGTCGCTGGTGCAGAGCTGACAGGGCCGGAGGAGCGATGTGGCAGGTTAACGGGCAGGCCGAGCCGGAGCCCGGTTCCCACGGCACTGCTGAGAACCTGCCTCTGCTCTCCCGGGCCTTCGGATTTACGCCTCCTGCTGTTTAATCCCCCTGGTGCCTAAAGACCAGCCTGTGTGTCTGACCTAGAATGCTAGGAGTCGTAACCCATGAGAGTCTGGGTTCGAGTCCCGACTCTGCTCCCAAGTCCAGCTTCCTGTTAATGCAGAACCAGGGGATGGCCCAAGTAGGTGGGTTCCTACCATCCACATGGGAGACCTGGGTCGAGTTCCAGGCTCCCAGCTTTGGCCTGGGACCTTTGTCTGTCTGTCTCTCTTAAATGAATAAAATATCTTACAAAAACAGACCTGGGTACATTGGAGGCTTGTTAGAGATTTGAATCCAGACCTGAAAGAATGGAATAAGTAGCTAAGTGCTGATTCCTACACAAACCCAACTTAGAGACAGAACAGAGATACGGAAGCAGCCAGTTCCTAGGCAACATGGCATGACACTTAGCCGGGAAACATTTTGTGCGAAATCGAGATTCTTTTATTCACTGTAACCTTGACCCAGAGGCTACAGAGAAACATATCCCATGGCCCCGGATGCCTGACGCAGGAGGATTCCCCAGGTGATGGGTGCAGAGAGGAGTGGCAATGGCCCAGCCGTGCACGGCAGCTCTCCCGGGTACTCAGTAGCTCATCTGTAAACGGAAGTGCTGTCACTGGCACCGGGCTGCTGGGAGGAGCCAAGGAAAATGAAATACGACCATGGACTGTGAAAAAGAGAGAGAGAGCTCAACCAGAAGAGTGGCTGGGGTGGTGTCGGGTCAGTGGGCTGGGCACCCAGGAGCTAGGAGCCATCAGCACCCAGGATGTCTCCCAAGCGGGTGGGTGGAGCCGGACAGCAGAATCAACCCGGAGCTTGTTGAAACGCCTGTCCCATGGGAATCAGGAGTGCAGGCCTTGATTCTAATCGAAAGGAACGCTTCCAGCACTGCGCCACGGGAGGCACTGTCTGCGCTGTCGATCAGGCAAAGGCCGGTCTTTTTTAATTTGTAGTTTGCTAGGATGGTTCCCTTTTAATTATAAAAATTCTAAAGAACACTTGTATTCCTATGCATGTGTTTTTGAGATGATGACAAGGTGGTGAATTCTGTTGATTGATTTACTAACACGAAACCAGCATTTTGTTCTTGTTCTAAGTACGGCTTAGTGATGGCGTACCTTTTTAATGTCTTGCTGGAATCAGCTACTGATTTACTCAGGATCCTTCAATCTGTTTGGTGCGTTGGCCCGTGTTACTTCCTTCCTAGACGCGACCTAGGATGTTTCCTTCGTGTGTTGTCCTTGCCTGGATTTGGGATTCAGGTTATGCCAACCACAAGTGACTTGGAGATGGCTGCCTATTTATTCTATGAGAAAAAGTTAACTAATATTCTAATGTAATTAATACGTAGTATTGTCCGTGGTTGCAATTCTTGCCTTTCTGGTGATAGGATTTACATATAGAAGCATCTGGGCGTGTTGCCCGACTCCTTTCGGCCTATGCTCAGGGAGCCCCTGGTGCTGGGAGCAGCTTGGCACCAGCTGAGTTTTCTGCAGGGGAAGGTTTTCTGTAGCAGTTCTGCTGAGATTCAGCTCTGTGCTCTGGTCAGATCTCTCACTGTCCACGCGCGGGACCAGCTCCTTCGGAGGGAAGGGCGTTTCTCTTGGCTCACGGTGTCGGAGGCTCACTGGCCGAGATCAGGCAGGCCTCATTGGTTTAGCATCTGGGCAGGGAAGGGTGACAGTGGCAGAGTGTGTGCAGAGGAGTGATCCCACGGAAGCAGAGAAGGTGGCTGGGCACAACTCGGCTTTTAGAACCAACCCTCTTCCAAGGACACGCCTCTCACCAGGCCCACTCCTAGACATCACAATTGGGTCAAGCCTCCTCCCTCTCAGCACCACCAACGTATGACTTTGGGGCTTAAATGTCCACACAAGTTTGGAAGCCAAACATTGTTTAAACCATTGCATTCGCATAGCATAAGATTCACCCTTGGAAAGTGTATCGTTTGGGTTGGGCTTTTGGCACAGAAACTTAAGTCACTGCTTGGAATGGCTGCACCCCACATTGGAGCACTTGGCTTGCATCCAAGCTGCTCCGCTTCCAATATGGCTTCCTCCTAATGTGCACTCCAGGAGGCAGCTCAGGTACTTGGATCCCTGCCACCCCTGTGGGAGGCCCTGATAGAGTTCTGGGCTCCTGGCTTCAGCCTGGCCCAGCCCTGGCTACTGTAGGCATTTAGGGAGTGAACCAGCAGATGGAAGATCTCTGTCTGTCTCTCTGCTTTTCAAAGAAAACAAAGAAATAAATAGCATGTTTTAAAAAAGTGTACAAGTCAGTGGATTTTAGTCTGTCGACACACACAGGGTATGTTGGACAAAACCATCATGCAGTCAATTTTGGAATATTTTCATAACTCCATTTCCCACTCTCCTCACATCGAGCCTTGAAACTGCTCTGTCTCTCTGAATGGATTTGCTATAGAATATAGCAGCGCTGCACCTGCTGTCGTGGCTGAACAATATTTCATTAAATGGATAGTCCACACTTTGTTTATCTCCCCATCTGTTGATAGACAGTTAGTTGTTGGTGCCATGAACATTGCTTTACAAGGTTTGGGGAGGACGTGTTTTCAGTTCTGTTGGGTAAACGCCCAGGAGTGGCACCGCTGGATACACAGCAACTCGGTGGCTCCAAGCACCCTGTGTTATGGATTTAACCGAATTGACTGTGGTCTGAGATTGCCCTCTGTATCAGTCCAGTCTTTGAAATGTGGTCAGCCTAACTTCATGGCCCACCGCACAGTCAGTGTTCCTAAACCTTCCAAGTGTGTCTGCAATAGAGCAGAGTTTCCAGTTGCTGCGGGCAGCGTCCCTCCGCGCCCGTGAGATAACACAGAAGCCAGCCCCGTGTTCTTCCCAAGTGCGTTCTGCTCGAGCTGGCCGCGTGCTACGGTTTGGACGTAGTTTGGGTTTGTCCTCCAGAGGCTCCTGTGCGGTCCCCAACGTGGCTGAGCAGAGGTGGTGGAGCCCGCACAGGAGGAGCCTGGGGGAAGGTAGGTGGGTCCCGGGGACTCCTGTCTCAGGAGCGTGAGTTGTAAGTAAGACACACACACACACACACACACACGCACGCACACACGCCGCCCTGCACACTCGGCCTCCTCTGCCTCCCGCCCACATGTGACGCAGCCATCCATAATGCACGGGGCCTTGCCAGGATGCTGGTACCCCAGCTGTGCAGCCCCTCCGACCCCCAGCTTTGTGAAGCACACAGGCCTCTTTTCTTTGCTGGTTTGCAGCCTTGGGTATTCTGTTGTAGCAGCACCAAGCAGACTAGGACACTGCAGTGGAGCTGTGTCAGAATCTCCTGCCGTGGCCGCCCGTTTCTGAACTGAGCCTTCTAGATAAGTTCATTTCTGCTGTATGCATTTGAGCGCCACATCCGAGTTTATAATTATTATACCTTCCTGGTGAAGTACACGTCTTATTATTTTGTAGTGATTGTCTTTGTATCCAGTGCTGTTTTGTCTTAGAATTCACCTGATAGAGTAACTCCAGCATTCTTGCTTTTGTGATCATTTGTTTGGTTT